TCCATACTAGGCACTTCCGGAAGATTTGAAAGTATAGGTGCAAAACTACAATATGTCGTCTATTAGTCCTGAAAAGGACAACATTCTAGCTTTTGTCGTTTTTGAGTTTTTGTGTCGACAAAATGGTCACTTAAAATTCGATTAAAGGGCGATAACTTCCGACCGGAAGTGATTTTTCAAAAAATAAAAAATATGAATAAGGTTTAGTTCATGATACATCATTCCTGAAAATTTCAAGTCAATCGACCCAAGCATCTCTGAGAAATCGTCTGCACAAAAATGTGTAAAGAAAAAAATAATAATAATAATAAAAGTGAAAAAGAAACAATAGAATAATAGAAGGGTCTTCCGCTGGAGACGGAAGACCCTAATAACTAGAAACGAAACTCGTTGCGAGCAACGAGAGGTCTTCCGTCCGATTCAGAGAAAAACAACGTAAAATCAGACTTAAAAAGAGATTTTAAAAATCGGACACAAGGGGGATCGAACCCGGGTCGCCAACATGAAAATCCATTGCGGTTCCCATTACGCCTTTTGGAACCCGCTTCAAATTTAACATTCGAATATTGCAAGATTGGTTTTTTTAATTCCAACATACATTACATTTTTTTTTTAAAATTCAGTTTGGAATTAAAAATGACAGCCAGCTTGCTAAACTTTGCTCAAGATGATCACATCGGAATTTGCAAGTTGAGTTTTAACAGTAATTTTTAGCTCTACTGGTCAGGGACCAGAAGAGCTTATGCGATAGTAAGGTGTCCGTCGCCCGTCCATCTGTCTGTCTGTCCGTCTGTCTGTAAACAATTTTTCAAAACGCTACTCCTCCTACAGTTTTGGTCTGATTTCAATATAACTTGGCACACAAGTAGACTACACTAAGATACATAAAATAGTGCATCCGTTTTTTATTTCGATGAACGGTGTTGCCATGGTTACTAAAAATAGAATTTTCTGTGAAATTTCTTTTAAACGCCACTCCTCCTACAGTTTTGGTCTGATTTCAAGATAAATTGGCACACAAGTAAACTACACCAAGATACATAAAACCGAGCATCGGTTTTTGATTTCGATGAACGGTGTTGCCATGGTTACTAAAAATAGAATTTTCTGTCTAATTCCTTTAAAACGCTACTCCTCCTACAGTTTTGGTCTGATTTCAATATAACTTGGTACATGAGTAGACTACACTACGATACATAAACTGAGCATTGGTTTTTGATTTCGATGAACGGTGTTGCCATGGTTACTAAAAATAGAATTTTCTGTGAAATTCCTTTAAAAAGCTACTCATCCTGCAGTTTTGGTCTGATTTCAACGACTTTTTTCTCATCCTTTGTTATAAATACAAACCAGTAGAGCTACTGTCTCGACAGAGACTTCTGGTTAGGATAGATAATCTATTAGTGATGAACAAACGATATTGTTTTCTTTCCTTTTTTCGATATGTATTCAACTTTTTATTCCATGCAACTCCATAAACAGGCATGCCAATGTTATATATTTCTGCACTATTGTCACCATTTGTCTACTACTTAAGTCGGGTCACGATACATTATTTCGTGCCAAACGTCACAACTAGTTCTTAATGCTATTCCTTTTAAATATTTGATCTATTTGATAGCTTCAATGAAAATTAAAAATGTATTTTCTTAAAACCGGAATTTCGAATTTCGAGCGTTAGAAGGTATATTTATCACATTATACAAATATAATATCGTATACGGCTAAGTAACACTAAAGCTGTGAATTCGGTAAGATTTTCCATTAATTTTGTATCCTGTTTTCCCCAAAGTGGAGATGAGTTACACGTTCATGAAAAGACTAGAATGTTTCACTGAAAAAAAAATCACTCGCCCTCCGACGGTCAAGGAATGTGATACTATTTATGTTCAATAACTTGCATTTATTTCAAGAATATTTTTATAACCTTTAATAAACAATCTTTTTAAAAAATGTTTTTCTTATTTTTGTCTTTTCTATTCATTTAATATGTCACAAGCCTGCGTGGAAAAATAAACAGAAGTCAAGTAATACTTCAGAAACATAGTGAATATTAAGTCAGGCAAGTTTTTTGAAAAGCTATTACTTATAACCATGGTTTAGGATAAGTTTTCCCTGGTGCAAAACAAAAGATTGTTGTCATCGTATTTCCACTTGAAGTCATGTTGTATTCTATTTTGAGATGCAGACAAAAGCAATGTCAATAGACGTTTAAGGAAACCTCATATTAAAACTATACTCAGTGCAATGTAAATGCGATGTAGCAATCTAAATAATCCTTTACATTTCATAAATCTTTTGGTAGAAGTTTCATTCATCTAAACGCTCAGCTGACCTTCTAGAACCCGACTTAAAATAGTGCATCCGTTTTTTATTTCGATGAACGGTGTTGCCATGGTTACTAAAAATAGAATTTTCTGTGAAATTTCTTTTAAACGCCACTCCTCCTACAGTTTTGGTCTGATTTCAAGATAAATTGGCACACAAGTAAACTACACCAAGATACATAAAACCGAGCATCGGTTTTTGATTTCGATGAACGGTGTTGCCATGGTTACTAAAAATAGAATTTTCTGTCTAATTCCTTTAAAACGCTACTCCTCCTACAGTTTTGGTCTGATTTCAATATAACTTGGTACATGAGTAGACTACACTACGATACATAAACTGAGCATTGGTTTTTGATTTCGATGAACGGTGTTGCCATGGTTACTAAAAATAGAATTTTCTGTGAAATTCCTTTAAAAAGCTACTCATCCTGCAGTTTTGGTCTGATTTCAACGACTTTTTTCTCATCCTTTGTTATAAATACAAACCAGTAGAGCTACTGTCTCGACAGAGACTTCTGGTTAGGATAAATAATCTATTAGTGATGAACAAACGATATTGTTTTCTTTCCTTTTTTCGATATGTATTCAACTTTTTATTCCATGCAACTCCATAAACAGGCATGCCAATGTTATATATTTCTGCACTATTGTCACCATTTGTCTACTACTTAAGTCGGGTCACGATACATTATTTCGTGCCAAACGTCACAACTAGTTCTTAATGCTATTCCTTTTAAATATTTGATCTATTTGATAGCTTCAATGAAAATTAAAAATGTATTTTCTTAAAACCGGAATTTCGAATTTCGAGCGTTAGAAAGTATATTTATCACATTATACAAATATAATATCGTATACGGCTAAGTAACACTAAAGCTGTGAATTCGGTAAGATTTTCCATTAATTTTGTATCCTGTTTTCCCCAAAGTGGAGATGAGTTACACGTTCATGAAAAGACTAGAATGTTTCACTGAAAAAAAAATCACTCGCCCTCCGACGGTCAAGGAATGTGATACTATTTATGTTCAATAACTTGCATTTATTTCAAGAATATTTTTATAACCTTTAATAAACAATCTTTTTAAAAAATGTTTTTCTTATTTTTGTCTTTTCTATTCATTTAATATGTCACAAGCCTGCGTGGAAAAATAAACAGAAGTCAAGTAATACTTCAGAAACATAGTGAATATTAAGTCAGGCAAGTTTTTTGAAAAGCTATTACTTATAACCATGGTTTAGGATAAGTTTTCCCTGGTGCAAAACAAAAGATTGTTGTCATCGTATTTCCACTTGAAGTCATGTTGTATTCTATTTTGAGATGCAGACAAAAGCAATGTCAATAGACGTTTAAGGAAACCTCATATTAAAACTATACTCAGTGCAATGTAAATGCGATGTAGCAATCTAAATAATCCTTTACATTTCATAAATCTTTTGGTAGAAGTTTCATTCATCTAAACGCTCAGCTGACCTTCTAGAAACCGACTTGCTTAATGGTGGAGTTCACGGAGACGCCCCGCCATCTTGGACACGCTTCAGATTTTTAAATGCGAATATCTGGTGTGTGGATTGATCAATTCTAAAATAAACTATATATTAAGCCTTTCCAGTAGGGTCTCCATTAATATTAAATATATCAAAGAAAAATATTGAAAAACAAAAAAAGTTGAAAAAGTGCATATTTTGAATTCACTTCCTGTAGCGACCGGAAGTACTGACGACGCAAACGAAGGCAAAATTGCACATCTATAACTCATGCTCTATCATCTCTAACAAGTCTCCAGTTAATATTTTGAGCCGTTTTCGAGAACATTCGAAGACAAAATTGCATTTTAAAATCAGGAAATTGCCCATAACTCGGCACTGGTAGCGAATTTTCCAACAAACGGAATTTTGTATAAAATTCATATAGTGACCTATTATTCCTGAAATTTTCATTGAATTCCACCGAATAGTTTACGAGAAATCGCCTGCACAAAATTTTGTCTAAAAAAAAAGAATAATAATAATAATAAGAAACAATAGAATCACTATAAGGTCTTCCGTGAAGACGGAAGACCTTAATAATAATAAGAAACAGAGTAAAAACAATATGTTCCCCAACTTCGTTTGGGGAACATAACAAGAAATAAACGCAAAAAATCTAAGACCACGATAGGAGTAATATATGTCGGCCACGAGTTTCGAGTGTGCAATCGGGTGTAACGAAAGTGAACGGTTTTTATACCCGTCTGACAGTGCCTATTTATGAGAAGTGTTCAGCTTTAATCCATGATATTATATCGGACGATGTCTAGTTTATGCGTTCATAAATAAGAAATTGGTATTTATTTTTAATCTGTTAGAGGTACCTTTCAGGGATTTATGACTAAAGATAAACCCTACCTGTAAATAGTAAATAAATTTTTGGCAATATTTATGAAATCTGATCACAATTGCCTTTAATGTCAAATGGAATAATCTTCACTTCGCATTTTTAGGTGTAATTCAAACATCATTTGTAGTTAAGAAAAAACACTCATATTTTAGGAAACTATATGAAAATACATGTATACTAGTATTTTATTTCTGCCACGAATATACTTAGTCCTATTTGTCTTTAATATGAATTGATACAGATATTAAGATCATTTTAATATTATTTAAAGTACTGTTAGCAAGAAAACTTACGTATGGAAACGTCCAAAGAAATCCATTTTCCCTCGTAAGAAATGAACACTTTAAGGTGAATGCTATCTGTATATAAAGTACCAGAAAAAGTCCACGCATATTATTTACGCATGCCCGTTGTGTCATTTTATATTTTTTATGAATTTATTATGCATGAAGATAGCATTTCTGCAACCACAGTTGATCATATAAAACTTTAACCAGCCTCATTGCAATTACGTAATTTAAAACTCAGATATGTTTGACAAAGAAGTGGATGACATTGCCATTAATTTGAAAGCAATTGTACAATTATATGATGCAAATGGTATCACATGTTTTTTTTTTCTTTCAAAACAGGTAATACAGGGTTTGTGGAATGTTAAAAAGAGGTCATATTACCCTTCTTATAAAGATCTTGGGATGAGATATCCCCCAAAAATTGCCTTAAATGGCTTTACATGTACGCAGCATGTGATACAAACCATAAAGATAGTGTGATGACTCATTCTTCGGGGAGGGGGGTATAAGTTATATAAAGAAAGCGATTGCTCATTCAAAAGACATATTTTGTATATTTAACATATAATATATGCACGCATCGATTATCACAGGGCCTTTCACCAAAAATTATTTAATAGTTTGTGAACCCAAACACATAATAGTTCAGGTACAAGAACGCAATGGATTTCTTGTATTTTTAATATAAATAACTAAACGTTCGTGATGTCAATTTTTAACCGGTCAACCGATTACCAGTACTCACTCGTCACGATGATTATATGTTAGAAAATCTGTAGTCTGTTAGTCTGCTAGTCAGATAAAATTAAATGTAATAAAATATGAACAGTACTTTCTTAAAATTCGATTTCAACAAAAAAAATCTCTGTGTTGAATACATCTATTTTGGCTGATTCCTCCGGTCCAAATCATTTTCCGTGACTTCTACTTTTCATAACACTGGTGTTATCACAACGCAGCCCCATAATAGATACCCAAGAGTTCAAATTTTGCTTTAAGGACGGGTGATACAAACAAAATTATGACCAAAAAATTGAAAATAACAATTTGGGTCATGTTAAGATGAGTACAATGGATATGTTTTACCGCGTGGGTTTTAATTTGTTATTCAAAATTTCACAAAATGGGATTTGTAGTGAAAATATTTGTATAGGTTAAAAAGGATGGTTTCGGTACGGTAGACTTACTTTTGAACACCACAGAAGGTTTACAATTTTTTTTATATTCTAGAAATTTATTATTTGCATCATTGAAATTAAATTATAAAGATATATACCAATCCAGGCATCCATTTTTTGATTGTATCATAGTCCCTAATGTTATCACAAATTCTCGTCAAATTATCAACCATGCATGTATCTCTGATCCCCATAACATCTTTCCTGGCTTCGATCTTCAGTATTGTACCTACTTTGTGACAAAGTATTACTAACCCGTACTCTGAAAAAAAAATCTTGTACATCTTTCCCACCTCCCTGATTAAAGATTACTAGTATATCCTCTAAACATATAACAGATGATACATGGGGATTTTTATTAATTCATTACAACTAACAGACTGTGAAGCAGCATACACTTTATAGCGCGGTACAATTTTCTCAAATCTTTTGCGCAAATAGATATGACATATCATTTTTAAACTCATATTTTTTATTTTATTAAATTTAAGCAAGTATAAAATAGAAGGGAACTGGCATTAAATTGGAGATAACATTTACTTTAAAAAGTGCCAGAAAAATGCGTGATTGCGGGGGAAAGGTAAATGCATGATTATACGTTAGAAGGAGCAAATATTATATGCATTAACATATATGAATACGGGGGAGATGGTTAAAATAATTCTTTTTAACAAAAAAACACATTCTGGAAGTTCTAATTCTGTCCGTTTTGGGGAAAAGGTGTTGTAAATATTTTCAATGACAAATTATTTGATACAGACTTTTTTGCATGTGTTGTTACCTTTTTTATCAATTTATATCAGTTGCAGCCGAGATTCGTACTCAAGACAATCTGATCACGAGCGACTGCTCTTACAAATAAGCTTCCAGGATGGTTATCCTTTATAAGCACGGCGTATCTTAAACGTGACATCTTCATGAATACATCGTATCTAATCTGTCATGAATATCTCACTTGAATGTGTCATTTATGTAAGTCTGTAAATCTTTAAGCCTGTCACAAAAAAAATCTAAACTTGGTTATCTTTAAAATGAAAAAAAAAAACACTTCCAAATAACATATGTGTTTTAGCTATGTTGCGACTTTTCATATTGCATTATAATTTTGACTCCATGACCTTAACCTTGGAGTTTGACTTATTTTCAAAATCCTAAACAATACTTTAAAAGAGCCAAACCTTTTGAATGGGAAGAGATAGGAATTTCATACTTAAATGTATATTACCTTGACCTTTGACCAACTTTTCAAAAACTTTAACCTTGGTCACAACTTTCGTATGAGAACATTTAGGGCTTCACCTTCCACATGTATAATATCTCTGACAAGACCTTTCTAAAACACTAAAATTTTTACCATTACGTTTGACCTACTTTCAAAAGTGTTATTTTTTTCTAATAAATTTTGATAGAGAAGAGATAGAGCTTTCATATTTGACATGTGAATTACATTTACCTGGGATAAGATATTTCGAAGCATACTATGATTTTTTATCAAAAAAATTTTGTGGATAGCATAAATATGCCACCATAGTTGTTTTATACACCAAAATCAGTTTCGAAAAACAAAACACTCTTGATCTATTAACAAAAGTCTTATAATATATTTGTACAATCGCCAAGATAACTGCAGAACCCCACATAGTAATATATAATAGTCTTTCATCTTCACCAAATATTTTGTTAATTATTCCTTTAATGAAAAAGTTATAAAAGCTGATCATTAAATGAATAATTGACAAATCTCCAGTGTTTGTTCTGCAACAAAAAAGGAAAAAGTATTCCTTAAATGTTATAACAGAGAGGAGAGAAAGGTCTGTATCACTTATTTTTTTTTCTTTTGCTACATTATACAACTGATCACTCCAATCTACATCATTGGGTATGTTTCCGGTTTGTATAAGAGCGATATTATCACAACGCAACACATTAAGCCTACAAAAATGGGCGAGGCCTAATTTTGCTTTATTGTTATAAAAAGATTTGCATCAATGTTATCGTTTAGATCTTAACTATTTCTCTAATTATAGATATCCGCCTGACTCCAATTCTTGGTACTATCCACAATTTTTAACATAGCATTGCGCACTCATACTCTAAAAATGTTGCACTTCTCACTTTACTGATTACAGAGAATTATATCCTCTAGATATACATTGAGTAGATCAATAATTATCAAAATTCATGAACTTCCTTTAATTCATTATCATAATTTATTTCAACAAGTCATTCATGCTTTTAAGTATTACAAGGAAGACACATATAAAAGATAGTTATGGGCAATCTGTTTCTAAACTCGTAGCAAATGACACAAATAGGATTTTTTAAAATAAATCCTAATTAATGTTATCATAAAAACACGTTCAAGGAAAGAAATATTTGATAAAAACATTCTGTGTCACTTAAATCTAATTATCAAATAATATTAGAAATCATTAATCAATTAAAAATAATATATTATATTAAAAAGATTTTTCCCTGGTCCACAATCAGCTGTCTTTAATTAATTCCAAGTTTCAGCACATTTTTAGAACGTTAATGAAATTAAAAGTTTTGAAAAATAGAAGGACTACTGTAGAAAAATACTAGGTAAATGTTTATAATTATCCTATCTAAAACCGTTTACATTTCCAAAATGCTAGCTAGAAGAATAGCACACTCACTTTAAACCACTTTTTATCTTTTTATTTCCTTGATGTCAGGGAGTTAAAACATATTAAAGTATTTAAAAAAATTATCTTAAGCAATGAGCTCTCTTCCTTAATGACCCGCCCAAAATTAATACTTAGTTGGTCAGTTACTAGTATTAAAACTAATAACTCCTTCTTTAATCATGATCATGGACATTTTGCACTTGCTTGCTTCCTATAGCTATATTATAAAGTTCAGCTTAGTCAGTTCTTTAGCTCCAGGGTGTAAATAATTTGATGACATATTAACGAAAATACACTATAACTTTATTTTTTTACCACATGAAACTTTGCAATAAAAACCTTTTTATTAGTTATATAATCTTCAAGGTTTCAGGGTTTTCAATTGGACTCCTGAAATGAGAATAAGTTTGTCCTATAATGCGTTTCGTTACAGTAAACTCTCAGTTTTTTTCATAGAATGATGCGTGCAGATAACTTGCATGACTTCCATTTGTCTATTATGCATACACAAGTGTTTTGTTCTCAAAGGGTCATTTAATTTTGTTAATTATAATGTTTTCTTATAGATTAGGAAAGAAATTGCTTGATTTTATTAAGCAAGTAGTGTTGCATCAAAAACGAAAAAGGCAATCAAAAAAAGTCAGTAGATCATGATTTTGCTTATTATGTTTTTTTTTCATACAAATTAATGGAAATAATAAAAAGTGGATGTTAACCACATAAATTAGAGACACGTTCGAGCTTTCAAACTTGGTTGCATCAAAAGATCATTTCCCTTAATGTTTCGGCTATGTAATAAATCCGGTTATTAAACTAGTATATTAACACTGTTGCATATTTAAAGTCTATGAGAATTTAACATTTCGAAAATCGTTTTGGAAAATGATCCATCATTATTCGCGATTTTCAATTGTCAGCACCGTAGTTCAGAATTAATTTCTAAATGATATTTGGATAATATTTTGCACGCTTGACAGCAATTGCTAAAACTTTCATAATACACATATTTTCAACTTAAACGTTGTATTAGCCGATGGAAAAAAAAAATTAATTAGAAAAAACATTTTTATTTGTCATACCTTTAAAAAAATTGTTCCTACAAAAATCTATACAAAAAATGGTTAACATTTTTAATGTTTTGCTGAGCAGTCATAAAAAAAAACGATGTTTGACCGATGACTGAGATGTGTGAGGTTAATATTTGCATATTTTACTTGAACAAGACGTAAAAGGTAATCTAACAATAAAGCGGTATGATAAACGTGATGCCTTTAAACTTTTCAATCGTCAACTTCTATCACATATACAGCAATGTACCATCATAACCTGCATACGGTGATTATATCTCTCAGTTGCAAGAGCATGTTGTACGTATGTACAATTTCTAAAACGAGGTGAATTATTGACAAACAAGTTGATGAAACAAGAATTTCAGCAGTCTCGATTACAGTCATAATTTTGTAAGTTCTTTGGTCGATATAACTAATGCTTCCCGACTCTTCTCATACTTATTGTTAGGCCAATATTTACAGACTGAGTTTCCCCCTTATCCCCGATCATGACAAGGATCACACGGCGGGTGTGACTGAATGGCAGGGGATGGTCAGTCCTCTATAACACCTGATCCAACCTCTGACGTTTTGGATGTCCACGTTTGCTCTGCTCCTATTTCGTATAGTTGTTTTTTTTTTTTTTACTTTTGAGCTTGAATACTGTTTGTAATCTCCATATATTTCATATTGTAATAAAAGGATTATACAAACATTAAAGACAGTTTTAATACAAACATAACGCATGGATGTCAAGTCCCCAGCCTAGTAACGATTATTCTAGAACATTGATTTTTTTCTTACTTTAAATGCAGGGTAAGCAGTTTCAAATTATATTTCCTCTTCAAATATTGTGTCCTCTTTTAATAATGGATATGATATAAATATTAACGCAGAGGTTATAATCTTCCTTTGATTCCAATGTTATCACTCTTGGCATTATATATGTTGAGATGCCTTAAATATCTGAACCTGAAAAGTAATTTGCAGCAATAGACCACTTCCACACATCCCCATTTTCTATGCTTTCTTATAAACACAAATAGCATATTGACATAACAGTCAATCCAAAGTCTACGGTAATTTAACATTGCAAAATGACTGCCAGTAAGGAAAGGGATCCATAATATATGTGCTTTTCCATACCTCAGTATTAACAACGCAGTGATGTAGTATACCTTTCGGAATCCATTGGTATATATATATAAATTTGGATAATATGTGGGAATTATGACAACCCTCATGCGTGTTTGACAATAATGGTCGAAATTTACATTAAAAGGCCGTTACAGACTTGTTTGTGGGTCTCAGCTTGTATATTGAGAAGAGACTCATAATACTCAAGTACAAGTAGCAATGAAGGGTTCGTAGGTCTCTTATTCGTGTAGCTACATGTACTTCTCCTTCAGTTTTTCCAATAAAACTCGGATCAATCGTAGGAATACTACGGAATAGAAATTTACTGGTTCTTTACTTCTTCCAAGGTCGTCTTTGTTATTAAAAATAAACACATATGAAATTCATTCAATACTCTATACTTCGAAAGTATAAGTTTGATCTCAATAAAACTTGGCAAAATGTACATTTTGTGTTTTCTCTTGAAGAGTAACATGGTGTAACGAAATATATCAATTTTTCTATTTGGACTTACTTATCCTCTTCAATGAAATATAATACATCCATCAAAACTCACAAAATAAGCAAAACAACATTTTTATTTCTTTAAATAAGCTGATACAATTAGTATTTCAATCTGTGAACAGATGTCTTATCTGTCCTATAGCAACAATGTCATAGTATTTCATAACATACGGTGTTCGATGCTTAGCTGGTAATTTTCATTAAACCTAGGTGATAAATACGAAATAAGATATTCATTATTTTTTTGTTGCTCTAATTCAATTATTCCATTGACCAAGTCTTCGTATTCTCATTTCTGTTGCACTTTGTATACTGTGGAGTTGATATTCTCTGAGAGATTGTTTGTATGAGTCTAGTGCATCGCGGAGGTTCCCGGTCGTCTGTTGACACATCCCCAAAATATGCCATGATATGTTACTGATATGTAAAGGTATAAATTGTCCCTGGTCATAGTGAACAAGGATCTGTAAATCATTTAGGGCCATCTGTGCTCTATCTATATCTACATGTTTGGCGCAAAAGATCTCTACCATGTATAACATAACAAAGGGTGGGATAATTAAATAAGGCAAACCGTTCTGTTGACCAGATCTTTGTTCTGGTATCAATTCCCTGATGTAAGGAATGGTATTGTTAAGTTTTATATCCCATGCTACAGCTTTTTTCATTTTTGTTGACAAGGACTGACCCCCTACAGCCTTCATATACATCTCCTCATCTCCATTCATAGAATTGTGCATCACATATGGCTGTGCTAGCTTGACTTTTATCACGTCTATTATAGATAAAGCTTCCATATATCTAAGTGTTTTGTAATAATACAAAACAACATACAACATATCAGAAATACAACCAAACTTCGCTGCAAATTTCAAGATATGACAGGTTATTTTGTCAGCTCTGTACATCAGTTTATTTTCTTGTGTATGAGTATTCCTATGTAACATAAAAGCCAGATTCTGGAGGACAGAGTGTGTTAGTGTCTGAAGCACAATGATTTGATACTGTGTAAGGGGGTTGGTAATCGTCTGTTCTATTATATTGCATTGAAGGTACCTTATGCATCTTTCTTCGTTTAATACGGGTAGACAATCGGTCCTTTCTATTTCTATAAATAACTTGACATCAAAATCAGCCTTAGAAAACTCGACATTTTCATATGCAAAGCGGGAAAAACTGGGATCACGAAGGAAAGCTATGCATTCCTTACACGACATAATGGAGAGAGTGTCTAGCATTGATCGTATACCCATCCTATACAACTCATACAGTCTTAAAAATAATCGATTTTGGACTTCACCATAAATATCACTCAGAAACATGTTGTTACTCGGAATAAAAAAGTTAGGACACACCCCCTCATATACCCATTTGAGGACGAGTTTAAAACAGACCCAGGAACTGTAGAGGAGAGTGTGTGGAGTCCATTGAGGTATCATATTTTGCTGAATGACCCAGAAAACTGCAGTTTTCATGTGGTAAGAACACAGTAATTTTTCATCCTCACCTAATCCAATGTTAATTATTCTATTTAAAAACAACTTAAGCAAACCGTATGTTAAGAACTGGCAGTGGTTCATTGCATACACTAGTTTTTGCTCTGCCATAGAGAAGGAAGTTCTCCATTCGATAGTTTCATGTTTTCCTAGTTTATGTCCAATTGCTACAAAATGACATCCACTTTTCACTATGTCATCAACAATATGAGGCGGGGGCCATGAGTGACTTCTGTCTATCCATGAGGAGGCAGACGGAGGCCAAATATCCGATGCAAAGCAGTGGGCAAGATCATATCCCAGCATTCCATGAAATCTACTCACACAAGGACCGTGGAGAGTGGATCGCTGTGATTCTGCAGAACACATGAACGCTTTGTGTAATGAACTAGAAATGTAATATCTGTTATTCATTCTAACAAAAGCTTCATTGATCTCGCTACATAATATTGAAGGTGAAAGCAAATATAACAAGGCGAATCCTGGTGGGCTTTCGGAACAGTCACAAAGAATTAGTCTTTTCCTGTGAATGTTATAGCGCTGAGACTGACTTATATCCGAGATCACACGGTAATTATCTGGCCAGAACATATTGTCTACATCTGAGTCCTCTAGTCTAAATCCTTCTCTTCTACTTCCACTTGTCATGAAAGCGTCTTCATGAATTGATTTTGTTTGATTTGCCAATTTAATTTTGAGGTCCAACACATCTCGTCTAGCTTGAACTTGCCGTGATGTTCCAACTTCGTGACACATTCTAAGGAACACAACCGCTGATATATTCTCTGTGTCCACCATACTATTCCGAAAGAGACATTTCTTAAATAATTGGTTTTAATATAATATTTACATTTAAGGTGTTTTTCTTCATAGCCAACAGTGAAATTAAAATGCATTATATTAATTCTAATCTTTATTATATTATAATAATATATTTATTCTGAATTGTATTATTACTAATCCGTAGAAATACTAGTATGCAAGTAGAAACTTGCGCTTAATTGACGCCCAAATGAGGCTAAAGAGACATTGATAAAAATATAAAGATATTAGGGCAGCCATTATTTCAAAGATTAAGTATAGTTTAGCACCTTTAAACAGTGAAATGTAAACATTAGAAATAATTATTATATAATCTTAATTTACGAAGAATAATTTGAATAATATTTATCATTGGACAAATCATGCAAAAAAGGTGCATAAATTATTGTGTGACCTTTTTTGCACTAAAAAAAATATCACATTTGGAGTAATAAAAATAATCTAAATCATTCAATAAAATATTTTCTAGTATCAAACTTTTTATGACTTAAGTGTTGATCGGTTGAAAGTATTGTGTACTTTAAAATAATAAAAGAAAAAGTTCTGATAAGTGATGTAAATTTTGAGATATTGGTCAAAATATACAATTATAATTTTCATATTCCTCTTGTGTCATTTAATTTCTTTTTATGGAATGTCTGAAATGACCCTAACAAAAAAGTTTTTTTTTTTCTATATTTAACTAAAGTCAATACTTTCATTTTGATTTACTAGGAGTTTAACTTCAAATTCCTTTGAGGTTTCAAAGATTAAAATTTTATACGTGGTAAAAAAGGCGTAAAATTTGTAAATAATGTCCTAATATTCAGGTGAGATGTCCATTATAAATACAAAATATGCACATTTGAATTATGGAACGTAAAACATAATAAAACATAATAATCAGAAATCAACGGCTAAAATACTTTTATTCACTATAGTGAAAAATATGATTAATTTTAGCAAAAAATGTGTAGATTTATAGACTTTATAAGTACACAAAATACCGGGTAAAGGTCAACGTTATTTCGACATGTACCTTTTTACTTGAAGTTTTAATTAATAAAATGCAAGTTCTATTTAAAGCAACAGCAGCACTTTCCAGAAAATGTCAAGTATGTAAAAAAAAAATCAACAGCTAATTTTTTTTATTTCAACCAGGGTATGCCCTTGCGATATAGAAATTTGAAATTTCTATTAACGCCCAATCAAAACATTCGGTTTCTTCAATTTTACTTCGAGCTTATTTGCTTTACTAGACTTTTTCTGTGTCAATTCACTTTTATCATTTGTGGTAAAACTAATAGTTCAAATTTTAGGAAATTCCTCTAATAAAACATATAATTTATTTTTGCCACATATATATGCAAATATTTAGTTGTCTAAAATATGAACTTGTTCTTTTTATTTATATATGTAATGTTAGCATGAATACTTACATATCGGGTTGTCTAGAAAAATCCATGAAATTAAATGTACCAGGTACTTTATATAATAGAGGATAAGTTCCTTGTATATCATTTTATTGGTTCCTGTTGTGTCGTTTAGATTTTTATTAATTTATTATACATTATATCTTGAAAACATTCTGTCACAAAAACTGATTAAGGAATACTTTAACAAGCATCATAACAAGTTGCTGTGATTGTGATTCAAAACAAAGTTGATGGAAAATATCTTTAAAGTTAATTGAATTTATTTTTTAATTTAATTTATCTTTAAAGCCATATTAACTAAAAAACTTTATCTGTTTATATGTTAGCATGAGTACAAAAGGTTCTTATCTTCTTGCTGAACCTCATCTTGTACACTGTATGCTTGACCACTGCTTTGACTGCTGTGAGCTTTGGATGGGGCTAAAATGTGGCATACTGTGAAATCACTTAATTTCGGGGGGGGGGGGGGGATGTTAAGAGTCATTCTCTGTAAGAATAAAAGAATTTAGAAAAAAGTTGGAAATGGTACATCACAGATTTTGCTGATTTTTTGCATGCAATGTAGAAACACCACGAATAGAACATTTTTGGAGTTAATTTTTTATTTTGAGTCCCGGTTGCCATGGTAACCAAAACCCACCATTTTGAGGCCAAAAATAAAGAGAAACGTACTGAAAGTATACAATCTTCATCATAAATTTCTATTTTCTGCATTTTATTTACAGATTTAAATGTTGCATACTCTGATAGAATATTTGTTGTAGTAACTACCACAACTGATGAAATTATTCAATAGTTGGTTATAAAAGAGTTGTCTTTCATTGAAAAGTGTGAATTTTTCAAATTTTAACAAATTTGAAAAAATGTCAATTTTTGGCATTTTCTAAGCGTGGTAGCAAGAAAACGCGGGCAATCCATAACAAACAACTACCATCACTGAAAAGGTCATTCCTTACTCAACAAAATATAAAATTTCTAGAGTGGTAATATTTCTTAAAATAAAATAAAACGAAAATGGAAACGGTTGCTATGGAGATTTTGGATTAATTTGTAGATTCATCATTTGGCTCCTTTTAGTACATTATAGCTTTAAAAATATTTAAAGTAAGACCAATCACACTCCTAAAGATCATAATTTCAAAATAAAATGATAAAAATGTAAGTTCATAAATTAAACAAAAATAATCTGTTACTATAGCAACCAAAAAGTCAGGAAAAATCACTGTAGCTATTGGGGTTTTCATTATGCAGAATCTGTGGCCTCAGTGCATTATTTAATTTCTCCAATAAATAGATAACACTTATCATATTTGTTATTTCACTTATGTACATTTAAAAAAAAGTAATAAGTAAAAATCACGTTGCTATGGTAACCAAATAGTTTTTGAACACTTCCTTATATAATGGTTGCTATCACAAATATTGGGATACTGACAAGTATACAACGATATTATAAAAGCTTCATTCGTGATTTTTTCTCTTTTTTAATAAAATCAATTGAATTTAATTGTATTTTACTAAATATCAAAAATAGTAATTCATAATTTATTTTAAAAGTGGTTTCTATGGCAGCCAATAGTTCAGGAAAATCCTTATCATTGATATAATTAATATACAAAATCTACTGCTTTATTGCCCGATTATATTTCTTCCTCAATGAAATAAACCATGTAAACCTTTGAATTTCATTTCACTAACATGAAAATAGAAATTCATAATTTTACTAAAAAACAGTTGCTATGGTAACCAAATAATTCAGGAATAATCCAAATAATTATTGAGTACCAGTATACAAAACTCATAAAACTGTCACCAAGGTTTGATTATACTTCTAATTTATTTATTTTTTACAAAAAACAGATGAACTCGAATTTATTGAAATTTTAGCACAGTATTTGCTAAGGCATGCCATATGCATGGTGGGTAACACTTGAGGTTAAATCTGATGTCAACTTCCTGTTTATCCGCGTGTCAGACACTGTCTGTCCGTACCATACATACACAAGCATTCTGAGAGTATTGCATAAGCAATACATGTCCCCTACCGGGTTTCCCTTTTCGAAACTAAGTTTTTCTTCAGGATGTCATTGATTTTGAGGTTGTGGATAAAATAATCCAGATTAAGACGAAAATTCAACTCATTTTTCCTACGCCTTTTTCTCGCTTCTTATTTATGTCGACCATCGGAAGTTAGCGCAGCATGATCTCAATTAAACGAATGTGAAAAATTCAAAATACCATTATTTTGTCAAAAACCAATGAAGCGATGCGAAATTCAAACTTGATATGCAACTCATGAAGATACACCCACATACCAAAATTCAGCTCAGTATCTGCAAGTGTTTAGAAAAAAAAGTGCAGAAAACCAAGTGGGACAGACTGGCAGACAGACGTGGACAGACAGATGGATGGACAGCTGGACAGACGGACGGACAGACGCAGAGGAAACCTATAGTCCCCTCTGATTTCACCAGTAGGGGACTAAAACAATTCGTTGAAGTTTTCCCAGCAGAGATAAGTGTCTTTCATACACATTAAGAATGACACTCAAAATTCAGAATGTATTTTAAAGATTTTGTGATTTTGTTCTTCCTCATAAAGGCAAAGGGTTAAAATAACTATTCGGGAATGTGCAATTATGCAGATGGAGAGCATATAATTACAAACCACCAGCGCTCTTGTTAGGTCCAAAACACTGTCCGTAGGGGCTATGCCCCTGGGAGTGAACTCCCTATAAGCTTTTGAAATTCAACCAACAGAGAACCTCATTTTGACTCAAATTGAGAAAAATATAATTATCTGAAATAGTTTTCTGGAGGGGGAGGGGGAGTTAAGTGAGGGGGGGGGGCAATAAAATGTTACCAGATCCTCCTCCAATATTTTAAAAAAGAAGGGCTTGATTTATTTGCATTAATATTTTTTTCAAGTTAAATAACTTTTTTTTTTATCTAAAACTACTCAGTTTTTGGAAAGCTTCTAAAAATATTTTCCAGAACATAAAGTCTGTGAAAAATGGAATACTGAGATGTCTTCATAAAATATGACGAAATCAAATATAGTATTTTTTTTCTCAGCTGTAATTTGGGCACTTAAATCTATGATTTCAACAATGACCATTTTTACAAATCCCCAATTTCTGCATGTACGTGAATGGAACTCCTCTCCGCTGAAAATTGCCATACTTCCCTATAAACCTTAATGTATTCCTTCACTACATATTGCTTCATTATACATTGTTTCAGTAAGGTGTACACATTGTATTATAAATTTGGCTTAAATTCAATTGTGACAGTGTTTGATATGACTAAAAATGTAATTTATTTTTTCTTTGATGCAGTAAAATAATCTGATATTAATTTAATTTTTGCAATAATTTCAAGTCGAATGAAAGGGCACATTCGCCAACGATCATTGATCCCCATTCAAAAAAAATTGCATCAACAAATTTCAGCCCTGCACAAATTGAAATCTAAAAGAAAATTGCAGATTTGTCCCGTGTTCAGTTTAGCGATGTGATTTCATAAGCTCAACATGTAAAAAAAAAAAAAAAAAGAAATACCG